TTTGTCAATTGTAAATCTTTCGAATCTTTGGTGATGTCTGCAATCGCAATTCCGAATAAATTATTATTTTTTATATAGTCGAGTTTTGTATTTAACGATTGATAATCTTCATAGAAAGCAACATAGAATTTTGACGGATTAGAATTTGATTGCTGGTAAAGATATGGTTGTTTCGCGTTGCTAACAAAGCCATAGGTCCATGCTGACGATGATGAAATTAAATTTGTAGGACAAGAAGATGGTGATAATAAACTATTTAAATTTTCCCATGACAAGTATGCATATGATGAACGATTACATTGATCTGAGATCAGTTCATTGTTGGTTAAAGGAAACTTAGGGTTTGTGTCATTTACTATTTGAAGATGTTGATTCTCAATGTCTGATTTAATACTATTTGAAGAAACATATTCGAAAATGCCACCAAATTCAACGCCTAAAACGAGTTTTGAATTATTTACAAAAACATTCCAAGAACTCAAAATTTGTGAGATTTTGTCTATTCCAGCACTTGCAGACACATTATTTATATTAAGACGAAATGCCTAAAAATTTATAAACAGATAATTAAATATTTATAACATCACTTTTACGTAAAAAAAAAAAAAGGTAAAATTTACCTGAATATTTATAAAATCAATGTAACCATAGACCGTATCGGTCATATTTATAGGATATTGGCCTGCCGTAATCGTTAAACTCTTACCACTACCAAATAATTTTGCTGATATGCCAGTTAGGAAACTTGAAAAAATAGTACCAAATCCGGATTGACCGCATGGAAGTTTATAAGGATAATCAATATCAATCTACAAGTTAATCAAATGTATATAATTAATTATTTATTTAATAAATGTGTGCCGCCAAAGGAACATCAGGAATCCTTGATTTCACAAGACAAGGGAACCGTTAATGTTGCACAACTAATCCAACAGGCAGGTGAAGGATTTTATCTATGACAGTAGAGTGATTCAATATTGTAAAATAATTTTTTATGAACCGCACACCAGGTGAGATTCCTCCTGTCTATCAAGAATCGATCTTAGTATGAGTGCCGCCAAGGGAAAAGGGCACCTCAGCAATTTAAGTATATTAGTTGATTATCGAGTTCAGCAATGATGCAGGTTGGGCTTTAAATTATACGTGATTCAAACTAAATTTATTTGTCCTTTTCCCTTAGCGACATTCATATGACGAAATGATGTAAACAATATATTATTCTTCGGAGTTGATAATCCATATTCCATTAGCGTTAAATTTGGCGGCACCCAAATATTCACATAGACAAATAAAATAAATTGGCCAATCTTACTCCGTCAAAACCATAAGTAGTAACAATATTAATTAAGTCACTAATAAATTTAGAATTTTGATTGCTATTCGGATAATACACCCAAGTATTAATTAGATAAACAAGATTAAAGAAACTATTTAAATTATTCGCATCAGTTGGTAGCAAGACTGATAGAATTATCTATAACATAATATGTCATTACTATTGATGTTAAATAAATCTTTTTAATGTAGATTTAGTAGATTTAGGGTGTTCTCAAGCAGCTCCTTCAATGTGATTAGCTATAGATCGAGATGTTGCTCAAAGCATTACGATTAATTGAGTGGTTATTGCAGTTAATCGAAAAACGAATTATTAAAAATTCATTGTTCGAAATGCGGATTTTAAATTTTAGCCAGTTAGAGCAGCTCTATGAAAAAAATTGGTGGTCGCAGCTTCAGGTTGTTTTGACCTAAGTGATAATCACGATCCATTTTTTCTGCCAATCAGATCGGTTTACACATTGAGGGAGACGCTTGAGAACGGCCTTAATAGTTTATTACCTACCTTAAATTGTAGATTATTTGTTGTCTTATAATTTAACAGATCATTAAATTTGGAAGATTGATTGTTAAAAAATAGCAAAGGGTCACCACCACTATTATTATTTTGGCCATTATTAACAAGGTCATTTTGGCCAAATGCTATATAAATATTAATTATCTTATTAAAATTAATTGTAATTAAACAGACTAAACGTTGAGCTTTAATTTCGCATACCAATAAAGTTTAAGTAATTAATTGAGGGACTGATAGTAAACTCTGCCCCAGGTTTTAAATTAAGTTTATAAGCGTGATAATATCCGATAAGTTTATTTGGTTTAGTTGGTGATAGGTGACATGAATCCTGACTCATTACCTTTTTTTTCAATACAATTATGAAAAAGGTATATAGTAAAAGCACTATGAATTTATGAAATGATAAAAAAC